AAAGTGATATTTTCGACTCTTGTAAAAAACGCAAGTCAATTGCTTGATATTAAATATATAGGTACGACTTGAAGACCTCTCTCAGATTTGTTCATTTTGTAATGATATCTTTAATTCTCTAATTTTGGTGAATATTTTGAATTCTTGTTGAAAACAGCAGGTCCCATTGCTTGATACTATACATATTGTTCATTTTCTAATGATATCTTCTGTTCTTTAATTGAAATGTGCATTGCTAACAGCGGAACTATCTCAGCTGACAGGCTGCTTGTTTTTTTTGCTATTTTTTTGGGTATGGTTACCCTATTTTTTGTGATCTTACTGCTGAATGCTGATCTTCCCGGAGACTGTGTTGTGTCTAATAAATATTCCTGTATTTATTCTGTTTCAGGCATTGGATTTGACTTCTAAATTTAAAGCCAGCGTTTTCATCATTGTCTCAGAAATTGATAATCCATCTGAATATTGGGGAAGTGTGGATTTTGTCAAGGATTTTCAAACCACAGGACTGAAAGTCAGGTCACATGATGTTGAAATATTTCCAGTAATGTCAAGTGATATTTATCTAGATTCAAATACTACATTGCATTCCACACTCACCTCTGAGGACCATCAAGAGACTTACAAGGGTATGGAATCAGATGACACAGAAAGAAAAATCTCCATTCATGGAAATAATTTAAATGAGTTGGAGTCCACTCTCTTTATGAAGAGTGATGACAGTTCAACTGAAGTTTCTCTGCTGGAAGAAAGTGATGGTGCAAATTCTGATGACACGAATGTAGAAGCCAGTGATGTTGCCATGGTGACAAGCGAGTCAGAATCCGAAAGTGTGAATGTAAAGGAGAAGGAGAAAGATTTGGGGGAAATATTTGAAAATGAAGATTTGCTTGATTCAGTGTCAATTCAAAACAAAAAAGTAGAAAATAATGATAACAATGCTGGAAGTTCAATTACCAGTCACAAACAAGTATCCAGAAAATTGACAATTGAGGAGCGTGTCTCCCGGATAAGTAGGTTATTTCAAGAATCGTACAAATCAAAGCCATTTTCATGTGACAAATGTGGTAAGTGGTTTGTCACTTGTGCTGCATGGAAAGTCCATTTATCTGAAGCGACTTGCTCCAAAAGAAAATGCAGATTTTGTGATATAGGCTTTCTTATGCACAAAGAGTTACAGGAGCACAAGCTACAAAATCATCCAATAAAAATTCCATTATTTATCTGTAAAATCTGCGATAAGGACTTCCTACACAGTAGCTTTCTTGAGAGTCATCATGTGAAAGAGCATGGCATGAAACAGAGGAAGTTCACATGCGATGTATGCAAAAAGGAGTTTCCTAGAATTGGTGAATTGCGCAAACATAAATTTCTGCATGAAGAGATGAAATACACTTGTAGCATTTGTGGGAAAAAACTTCCAACAGTTAAGATGCTATCAACACAT